GAGGGCTTCTTTTGCTGCTCTCTTTCTACTTGTTCCAGTTGTAGGGTTAATGTTTTGATTATGGCCCTTTCTGCTTTTTGGATGTGTGCATTTATTGCTATAAACAGACCTCTGAGCACTGCTTTTGCTGTGTCCCAAAGGTTCTGGTAGGATGTGTTTTCATTCTTGTTTGAGTCTATGAATTTCTTTATTCCCTCCTTAATTTCTTCTATAACCCAGTAGTTTTTGAGCAAGGTGTTATTCAGTTTCCATGTGTTTGTTTTTTTTTCTTGCTTTTTCTGTTGATTTTTAGTTTTATGGCTTTATGGTTGGAAAAGATGCTTTGTAATATTTTGATGCTTTGGATTTTGTTAAGGCTTACTTTATGGCCTAATATGTGGTCTGTTCTTGAGAACGTTCCATGTGCATTGGAAAAGAAAGTATACTTGGCTGCTGTTGCGTGGAGTGTTCAGTATATGTCTATGAGATCAAGTTGGTTGATTGTAGCGTTTAGCTCTTCTGTGTCTTTGTTGAGCTTCTTTCTGGATGTTCTGTCCCTCACCGAAAGTGGTGTGTTGAAGTCTCCTACTACTATTGTGGAGCTGTCTATCTCTCTTTTCAATGCTGTTAGAGTTTGTTGTATGTATTTTGGAGCCCTGTTGGTGGGTGGGTAAGTATTTATTATAGTTATGTCCTCTTGGTGTATTGACCCTTTGATCATTATATAGTGTCCTTCCTTATTCTTTGTGGTGGATTTTACTCTATAAAGTCTATTTCATCAGAGATTAATATTGCCACTCCTGCTCTTTTTTGATTGTTGTTTGCTGGATATATTTTTTCCATCCTTTGAGTTTTAGTTTGTTTGTGTCTTTAAGTCTAAGATGTGTCTCTTGTAGGCAGCGTATAGACGGATTGTGTTTTTTTATCCAATCTGCCACTCTCTGTCTCTTTATTGGTGCATTTAGTCCATTTACATGCAGCGTGTAATTATTGATTGGTAAGAGTTTAGTGCTGTGAATTTGATGTCTTTTTTGTGTGTTGTTCACAGTTTCTTTGTTCCACTTAATTTTCTGTGCTGAGTCGTTTTTCTTCATGTGTTTTCTTTTCATCTTTTTTATTGTTGTTGATTTCGTATTTGCTGAGTCTGTATATTTTTCTAGTTTTTATTTTGACTTGTAGGCTTGTTAGTTTCCTTTGTGGTTATCGTAATATATACCCCTATTTGTCTAAGTTTGTACCAGTCTTTTATTTCTTTATATCTCTTTGACTTCCTCTCATATGAAAAATCCATGTCTACATTTTTTAGTCCCTCTTTTTTGTTTTAATGTTGTCATATTTTACATATTGACGTCAGTTTCCCTATTTTCAGTGTTTTAGCTTTGGTTTATTTTTGTGACTTCCCTATCTGGGGTTGATATCTGGTTGCTCTGTCCTGTGTTCTAGTCTTGGGTTATTATCTGATGTTATTGATTTTCTAACCAGAGGACTCCCTTTAGTATAACTTGTAATTTTGATTTGGTTTTTGCAAATTCCCTAAACTGCTGTTTATCTGGAAATGCCCTAATTTCGCCATTATATTTGAGAGACAGTTTTGCTGGATATATAATTCTTGGCTGGCATTTTTTTTCCTTCAAGGCATTATATATGTCATCCCATTGCCTTCTTGCCTGAATGGTTTCTGCTGAGAAGTCCAAGCTTACTCTTACTGACTCTCCTTTGTAGATGACTTTTCATTTATCCCTAGCTGCTCTTAAAATTCTCTCTTTACCTTTGGTTTTGGCAAGTTTGATTATAGTATGTCTTGGTGACTTTCTTTTGGGATCTACCTTATGTGGGGTTTGATGAGCATTTTGGATAGATATCTTGTTATCTTTCATGATATCAGGGAATTTTTCTGCCAACAAATCTTCAACAATTCTCTCTGTATTTTCTGTTATCCCCCCTGTCCTGGTACCCCAATCACTTGTAGTTTATTCCTCTTGGTATAATCCCACATAATTCTTAGGGTTTCTTTATTTTTTAAGTCCTTTTATCTGATTTTTCCTCAAATAAGTTGGTGTCAAGTGCTTTATCTTCAGTCTCAGTAATTCTGACTTCGACTACTCCATCCTTTTTAACGACTAGATAACATTCCATTGTATAGATTCACTACATTTTGTTTATTCATTAGTTCATAGATATTTGGGTTATTCCCACTTTTTGGCTATTATGAATAATACTGCTGTGAACATTCATGTATAAGTTGTTGTGTGGTCATGTTTTCATTTCTCTTGGGTATATACCTAGGAATGGAATTGCTGGGTCGTATGGTAACTCAGTGTTTAACCTCTTGAGGAACTGCCAGATTGTTTTACAAAGCAGCTACACCATTTTACATTCTTACCATTAGTATAGGAGATTTCCAATTGCTCCACATCCTTGCGAACATTTGTTATTAACTGTCCTTTTGATTATAGTCATCCTAGTGGGTATTAAGAGATATCTTATTGTGGTTTTGTTTGCATTTCCCTGATGGCTAATGGTGTTGAGCATCTTTTCCTGTGCTTGATGGCCATTTGTATACTGTATTTTTACACAAATAACGTGTACCTTCTACATTTGTTTGCCAACTTCACCCCACCTGCGAAGTATTTTCATAAGGTCTGCTTTGCCAATTTTTTTTACATCTATCAACTCTGAGGGAAAGTCTTTGTCTTTTTTTGGCTTTTGTTCCTTGGTTCCTTGGTGATCTTCCTGTGGAGTGGCATCTGTCTTCCCCATCTGTGCTTGCTTGTTTCTATGCCTAATCTGCTCTTTTATATTTCAAAAGTGATGGGCTTAAAACACATCCTACACTGGTGTGACCTCATTAACATAAAGAAAACCCTATTCCCAAATGGATAATATCCACAGGTATGTTGTTGTTAGGTGCCATTCAGTTGGTTCCAACTCATATTGACCGTATGTACAACAGAACGAAACACTGCACAGTCCTGTGCCATCCTCACAATCATTGCTATGTTTGAGCCCATTGTTGCAGTCACTGTGTCAGTCTATCTTGTTGAGTGACTTTCTTTTCTTCACTGACCCTCCACCTTACCGAATATGATATCCTTCTCCAGGGACTGGCCCCTGTTGATAACATGTCCAAAGTATGTGAGACGAAGTCTTGGCCATCCTCGCTTCCTAGGAGCACTCTGGCTATATTTCTTCCAAGACAGACTTGTTTGTTCTTCTGGCAGTCCATGGTATATTCATTATTCTTTGCCAACACCACAATTCAAATGAGTAAATTCTTCTTTGGTCTTCCTTATTCGTTGTCCAGCTTTCGCGTGCATACAAAGCAATTGAAAATATTATGGCTTGGGTTAGGTGCACCTTAGACCTCAAAGTGACATCTTTGCTTTTCAACACTCTAAAGAGATCTTTTTCAGCAGATTTGCCCAATGCAATACGTCAAATGATTTCTTGATTGCGGCTTCCATGGGCATTGATTGTGGATCCAAGTAAAATGAAATCCTTATCAACTTCAATATTTTCTCCATTAAAAAAAAAAAATGTGTTGGAAATCCTAACCCCTGTACCTGTGGAGCCTTGGTGGCACAGTGGTTAAGAGCTTGGCTGCTAACCTGAAGATCAGCAGTTTGAATCCACCAGCCGCTCCTTTGAATCCCTATGGGGCAGTTCTACTTTGGCTTGTAGGGTCACTGTGAGTTGGAATCAACTCTGTGGCAGTGGGATTTTTTTTTTCATACCTGTGGATAAACAGAGAAAGTATCCACAGGAATAGGGATTAGGATTTACAATACATATTTTTTGGGGACACAGTTCAATCCATTACACTCCTCCTGTCCTGCTTCTTATCCTCCTCAACCCACTTGACCTCCAGCACCCTATACTGGGATGCCCACTTCTGAGACCACCTCTTCACTGACTTGGTTTCTGACACCTTGTGCTACCCAGCCCCATGCCACTACCCTTCTCACTTCACTCAGGTTTCAACACCCTGTATCAGGCTTCCACCTGTGAAAGCCCCCTTTTTATCCTGCTTGAGCTCTGAGATCCTGTGCCATACTGCTGTCGCCCTTTGTGAACACAGCCCTCACCTTCTCAGGCTCTGACACCTCTCTCTTTGCCACCACGCTCCTACATTGCCCAGCTCTACTTAATGGCTTTTGGACTGACTTTTTGGGAAGGAGCTTCACTTTGTCTTTTGAGAGACAATGAGTTTTTTTTTTTTTTGGACATCTGTTCAGAATTAAAAATCAGTACTTTATAAGAAGGAAAAAAACCAAGTAGCTTGAAATTTTCACTTCTCAGGCAATTATTGCTAGACTTCTAAAATTCCTTGGCTGATGTTTAAACTAGCAATTAAATTTGATTGATAATTATTTGAATCTTAATGTGCTTAGTTAATGAACTGCTTCTGACTGAGGAAATTAGAAAACAAATGATAATTTATATTTACAAAATAATATCCATTTCTCTTTTAGCTCTTCCACCAAAGCCACCTAAGCCAATGACTTCAGCAGTTGCAAATGGAATGAAGGACAGTTCTGCTTCTTCTCTTCAGGATGCAGAATGGTACTGGGGGGATATTTCAAGGTAACTAGAATTATACTATTTAAAAAACATAGTTTTTTATTTTATCTGAGAATTTGTAGTTAAAATAAACATTTTTAATTCCCCGTTTGTTGTTGTTCTTAGCTGTCATGGAGTTGGCCCATGACTCATGACGACCCTATGCAAAATGGAGCAAAATGCTGCCCATGTTGTGATTTATTGGCAGATTTTCAGAAGTAGATTGCCAGGCCTTTCTTACTAGTTCATCCTAGTCTGGAAGCTCTGCTGAAATCTGTTCGGCATCATAGCAACATGCAAGCCTCCACTGACAGGTGATGGGTGCACATGAGATACATTGGCTGGGAATCAAACCTGGGTTTCCTGCACAGAAGTTGCGAATTCTACCACAGAACCACCACTACCCCCAGTGCCCCATTAACTGTCATTTAAAGTTACTGTTTTAAAAATTGTATGTGGGAACATTTCAAAAGTGTCTTAATGCTTTTCCTCCCACAAAAAGGTGACAAAATTATTAAGTTATGGGTGTAATTATTACTTTTAATACTATGTTTAGGACAGATTTCTGAGTAAGTGCAACTTACACATTCAGGACTGTTTACATGTGTTTTAGAATAAAAGATATTTATAGGTACTTATTTTCCGCATTTTTCTTTCTCTAAGGCAACGGTTCCCAAATCTTTGCATGCACAAGAATCAGCTGAGGTGGGGCCCAGGAATCTGCATTGTAAACACCTTCCTCATTAATTTCGATGCAAATTATTCACAGTCTGCACTGTGAGAAACAGGACTCTAGCACAGATTCGCTTTTTGGGCAAAATGTGGCTTGAATAATTTTGACCCTAGAGAGAAATTTTATATATTTTATACAGTAAAACTTGTGAAAGCCAGAACCTGTATAAGTCGGAAACCTGTCAAAGAAGGAAAACTCAGATATTTTCCACTAATAGAGAACGATAGAAAAGTGGTAAGACTGCACCCTATCAAAGGCGGAAAACTTGCCAGACCCAGAAAAACAAGGCAGTTCCGTAAAAACTTGCCAGACCCAGAAAAACAAGGCAGTTCTGTCGAGTTCAGCACTCACAGGTTTCACTGTATTAAAATTGATCAGAAAATTTTAATTTTAGTATTGTAGGATAAAAGAGTCTATTATATTTAAATGCCATTTAAATTTATATTTTAAGGTCATGTGGTTCTGCTGTAATTCAAAGATATTTTACGTCTTTCCAGTTCCTTTGAGTGTTCTAGTGTTGTTCCTTGAGGTCGTAAACCAGTTGTTCAGAAGGAATCTGTTAATATAAATTCAAATTGGAGAATATCCCACTGAAAGATTTTGAACTTAGTAATTTTTTTCCTCTCTGATCAGACACAGCTGCCACTGTTGCTTAAATATAACTGTCTTTCTAAGCAGCTGCTAGTTTTTCCAGAAACTCTACAAGTTCAGACCTGCCTAAGGAAGCCCTAAAGACTTATTGAAAGCCTTGTCCCCTACAGACAGTTGAAATCTGGAAGAGTTTAAAAAGCAAATAGCCCTTCCTTAGATTATATAACATGGAAAATCAAAACAGAAAGAACATATCTAATGGGAGGAACTAAATGACCTCTGAAGGCCCCTGTGAGTTTATAACCTTAGACACACCCACCTCCTAACTATCCTTAGTAATAACAAATGAAGAGAACTGATGCTTTTATATTTTCATTTTCCTGTAATTCTGTTCTTCAGGGAGGAAGTAAATGACAAATTACGGGACATGCCAGATGGTACCTTCTTGGTCCGAGATGCCTCAACAAAAATGCAAGGAGATTATACTTTGACTTTGCGGTGAGTACTTTTCAGCCTTTTGACTACTGCTGGACTAGCATTATTTTAGTTCTAGGTAGATAAGGATTTCTGTATTGTATTTAAACCTTTATACGTGCATATGTAGATGCATATTTTTCAGTTGTTTGGCTAACTTTCCTTAGTCTATACGTTAAATATTTACATATATAGGAATGGAAACTGTTTTTATTTTTATGTAACAATAAAATGAAAAGATTAAAATTACTAAAATACAAGGAAGTAGAAAGTATACTGTTGACCTTATGAGTGAAGTAGAAATAATAGACATAGCCTAAGGTTATTAATAACATGTTGGGAACCTCTCCCCTCTACCCCCCGCCAATAACCCTGTTATTTTCCTTAATGCAGACTCCAGAAATAAAGCTGAACATAATTTTGGCTGATGAGGATATGTAAAAGATAGAGCAATTCTCAGCCTGTACCGTGCTTCCCATGTGGGCATATTAGAATCTCATAAGTGGTAGATATATGAATTTTTGTTTAGAAAGATGGGACATGTTAAAAATATTAAGACAAATTAGATCAGATATTTTCACATTTAATTTTAATAGTTAAAATAGCCTAGTTACAATAAAATATTATGATTTTTAAAGAAGGGACTGTTTGCCAAAAAGAATAATGAAAACAATAGCAACAATAACTACTACTAACTCTCTTGTACTAAACACTTTTCATGCAATATCTCATTTATTCCTCACAACAACCTTATGAGGTAGGTATTATTACCATTCCCATTTTATAGATAAAGCAACTGAGGCTTAACATGGTTAACTTGCTTAAAGACACATAGCTAATAAGTGACAGAGTAGAGGTTGAAAGCCAAATGTTTATGGCTCTTTATTGCATTTCCAGCCTAGTATTTCTAAAAAGAATAATCCCATGTCTTATGCTAGACATTTGGAGGCACAGTGTTAGTCTCTGACAAAGACATTAAGAAGTTAATACCTTAGCACTTGAATTGTGCTGAGGAATGTTCTGTAATGATTCACTGAACAAAACTTTTTTCTGCTGCAGTCAAGCTTCTATCTCCAGCAATCTACAGGGACTGCTAAACCAATGAATACTTCTCTCTTCTTACCTTACCTGACCTCTTAGCAGCATTAGTCATAGTCTCTTCCTCCTAGAAATAGTTTATTGTCTTGGCTGTTGTGACATCACACTCTCCTGATTTTCTTCCTAACTCTAGACCATTCCTTTGCTCAATATGTAAATGTTAAGTGCCCCAGGTCTCAAACTTGAGTTGCCTTCTCTTCTCTATGTTCATTCCCCCATAGCGAGCTTATCCTGTCCTTTGGCTTTAAGAAACAATTATATAATGATGATTCATAAACCTCATTTCCAGCTCTGACCTCTAGAACTCCAGACGCATATATCCAGCTGCCTATTTGACATTGCCACTTAGATAACTAAGGAATGTACTGACTCTAACATGGTCAAAGCAGAATTCTTGATTTCTAGCCCAACTCCCCCTACCCAAACTGTTGCTCATCTAGTCTTCCACTTTCTCAGAAATAGCACCACCATCTGTATAGTTGTTCAAGCCAAATTTGCCTTTTTCACTTCTCTTACCTGCACCCTCACATCTAATCTATCAGCGGCAAGTCCTGCCAACTCTACCTGCAGATCTATATTTGGAATCTCTTCATGCTTCTCTTCCCACTTCTCTACCATCCAAATGTAAGCCATCTTGCCTGATCTTTTGTAATCACCTCCAGATGGGCCTCCTAGCATCTCCCAATTTCTAATCTTGCCCACCACTACTAACCATTTTCTGTACAGCAACCAGAGTGATCATTTTAAGATGTGAGTCTGATTACTCCTTTGTTTAAAATCCTTTAAGAGTTTCTTAGTGCAACTTAAGGTAAAGAATTAGCACTTATTCTAATTTACAAAACTCTACTTGACCTGACCTCTACCTACCTCTTACAGCTCATCTCTTGCCACTCTCTTATCTACTACATTCAATTCCACCGGTTCCTCAAACATATGAAGCTTATTCCTGCTTGAGGGCCTTCGTGCTAGCTGTTCCATCTGATGGACTACTCTTCTCTCTGATCTTAGCATGATTGGTTCCTTTTTTGTCATTCAGATCTGCATAAATGCCACCTTTTTAAGTCTTCCCTAATCATCATTCAATGCAAAGTAGTCGTGCAAGGTTATCTGTTGTCTCAATTTAATTGTCTGCATGGCACCGCTCACTGTCTGTTTTCTGCCTCCCTGTCCCCCAACTAGAATTTAAGTACCCTGAGGGTGGGGATTTTGTTTAGTCATTGCTATGTCCCCAGTGTTTAGATTATGCCTGGCATATAATGGATGCCCTGGTGGCACAGTGGTTAAGAGTTCAGCTGTTAACCAAAAGGTCAGCAGTTCGAATCCACCAGGTGCTCGTTGGAAACCCTATGGGGCAGTTCTGCTCTGTCCTGTAGGGTCACTATTATTTGAAATGGGTTTGTTTTTGAATAAGTATTTATTAAATGAGTGAATATTCTTACTTATCTGGAAATAGTTTTAATCCCATTTAAAGTGGCATTTTACAATGCTTATACCCCTAATTGCTACTAGTTAAAAGCAACAATTTTGGTATCTTCAGGATGAGGAAAAGAGCTTGCAAAAGTTATGTAACTTAATTGAAGTTGCAGTGCCACAATACAGATTCTTATTCTAGACTCCTAGAGCTGGAAGGGGTATTAAATGTTACCTGGTTCAGCTGGATTTCTCTAGATGTAGAAGTACCTTGTATAGCATTTTCCAGAAAGGGCCGTTCAGCTTGCATTGATCTTTTAGGCATAGAGAGCTAGTTTTTTCCTTTTGAGGCAGCCTGTTTTATTGTTGAGCTGCTGTAAAGTTTAAGAGGATTATCACTGTACTGTGCTAGGACTGGGAATATGGAAATGAATAAGACATGTTTATACCCTCAAGGAACTCATAATGCAAGGGTATAATGGTGGAGTCGGAGAGACACACATATAATAGCTATACCTTAATGCAGTGTGATGTTACTCTTATATTAGAGATTAAAAGACAAGTCTTGAGAGCACAGAGGCTAGACTGTTTTAAAATCTGCATGTATCTAGCACAAGGTCTGGCATGTAAATATTTGAAGGAATAAAGGAATAAGTGAGAGAAAGACAAAGCGAAGGTTTCTCAGAGGAAAGGACAGTTGAGCTGGGACTTAAAGGATTTTACTAGGCAGAAAAGTGCTGGTCTTAATTAAATTTTTTTTTTTATGTGTGTGTTTTAGGTGAAAGTTTACAGCTCAAGTTAATTTCTCATACAAAAATTTATGCACATACTGTATTGTGACATTAGTTGCAATCCCCACAATGTGACAGCACACTCCCCCTTTCCACCCCAGGTTCCCTGTGTCCATTTGATCAGTTCCTGTCCCTTCCTGCCTTCTCATTCTGCCTCCAGACAGGAGCCGTCATTTGGTCTCATGTATCTAATTGAACTAAGAAGCACATTCTTCACGTGTATTATTTTTTGTTTTGTAGTCCTATCTAATCTTTGTCTGATGAGTGGGCTTCGGAAATGTTTTCAGTTCTGGGTTAACAGTGCATCTAGGGGGGCCGTAGTTTCGGGGGCTCCTCCAGTCTCTGTCAGACCATTAAATCTGGTCTTTTTACATGAATTTGAGTTCTGCTCCACACTTTTCTCCCGCTCCATCTGGGATTCTCTATTGTGTTCCCCTGTCAGGGCGGTCATTGGTGGTAGCCAGGTACCATCTAGTTCTTCTGGTCTCAGGCTGGTGGAGTCTCTGGTTCATGTGATCCTCTTAGTTTCTTGGGCTAATATTTTCCTTGTGTCTTTGATTTTCTTCATTCTCCTTTTCTCCAAGTGGGATGAAACCAATTGATGCATCTTAGATGGCCGCTTGCAAGCTTTTAAGACCCCAGATGCCACTCACCAAAGTGGGATGCAGAACATTTTCTTAATAAACTTTGTTATGCTAATTGACCTATGGTCTTAATTAAGTTTAATAAATACTCCTAGCTCAGTGCTAGTCACTACAGGGGATCCAGCAATGAGTTACAACTTCTGTCTCAGAGAACACAAAGGGTTTTGAGGCAAAGGGAAGAAAATAGCTTTGAGAATTAAAGTAAAATAACAGGAGAGGTTCAAACAATGTGCTTTGGGACTCGAAGGAAGAAAGTATCTTGTTGAGAGGACTGAGAAGGCTGTCCTTACATTTGCATTTGAGATGGATCTTGAAGAACAGGATAGGTTCAAACATGTTGAAACTGGGTAGGGAGAAGTGCAGGAATAGATTACAACAGAAGCAAAGATGGTGGCAGAAAATTGTAGGATAATGTTCTGTGAAATGCAGTCCCATTTGGCTGGAGGGTAAAGTTTGTAAAGAGGTAAAAGTGGTAGGGAATTGAAGGCTGGAAAGGGGACCTTTTGAAGAGGGCCTTGAATTCTAAAATTTGGAGTTTGTAGGCAGGGGAAACCATTGCATTTTTTCAGCAAGGAAGTTATGTGATCAGACTGTATTTAAGTAGAAATACTAAAAGAGGGTAGATTCTAGAGAAGACTTTAGAAGGCTATTATGAATTGAGAGATTTATTCATTCAATCATTTAATATTTATTGAATGCCCACAATATTTCCGGTACTGTTCTAGGCAAAGGAAATAATGATTAACAAGATAGACATGGTCTCTGCCCTGTAGTGTTTATATTTTGAGGAGTAGGAAAGAGGGAGACAAAATAAACAAAGAAATGAGATTACTTCAGAGTATATGAAATGCTATAAAGGAAATACATAACGTTATATGACAGAGAATATGGGGAAAGGTAAATTTAAGATAGTTTTGAAGGATGGCCTTTCTGAGGAGATGACCTTTTAGAACTGAAGGATTAGAAGGAGCCAGCCAGAGGAGTGTTCCAGGAATGGGGAACAGAAAATGCAAAGACAGAGAGTTGGGAAAGATTTGGTGGGTCCCATGAATACAGAGAACATTGTGGTTGGCTTAAGGTG